GGTTTTTTATTACCTATTCAGTTTTGGAATTTGTTATTGATCTGTTCAGGGTTTCAATTTCTGGGAAGAAATTCAATCTTGGGAGGTTGTATGTTTCTAGAAATTTATCCATTTCTTTTAGGTTTTCTAGTTTGTGTGCATAGAGGTGTTTGTAGTAGTCTCCGAGGTTTTTTTGTATTTGTATGAGGTTGGTGGTAATGTTGCCTTTTCATTTCTAATTGTGTTTATTTGGATCTTCTCCATTTTTTCTTTGTCTAGCAGTATATCTATCTTATTTATTCTTTCCAAGAACCAACTTTTAGTTTTGTTCATTTTGTATGTTTTTTCTCATCTATATTCCATTCAGTTCACCTCTGATTTTGGTAATTATTTTTTCTTCTGCTGCCTTTGGAATTATCTTGCTCCTGTTTTTCTAGTTCCACTAGATGTAGTGTTAGGTTATTAATTTGAGATTTTTCTAACTGTTTAAAGCTAGCTAGACCATTTCTGGGGAGACAGTGCTGTCCTTTAGATGTAAGAAGAGACTCTGGCTTTAAAATTTTCTGGAGATATTGTGCTGGTTCTTTGTAATCTGTGTGAGATGATGTTCCTTTAACGGTGGTGTAATTTGAGTATAGCCAGTTTGCTTAATTTTTTGATGTTTTCAGAGGCTGAGACTTTGTGAAAGGTCTTTATTTGTGGCTGAAGTCTTGTATCTGCATTCATCAGAGGGTATATTAGTAAAGTACTTTTTGGTGTTGAAGTTTGGGCTGTGATTCAGTGGATGCCACTTAAGCACAATGGTCAGTAGGTAGGATCTTAACCATGTGGCTCTTCTGTATTTCCTCATGATTGCAGCCATGATCCCTCTCAGTGCTCTGAGACTGTGAGCTCCTCTGCCAGATGAGTGCTGACCACAGATCTTAGATTGGACTTTCAGGATGTGCACTACATCCCTGAGTGAGTTCAAACTGTTTGTTTCCTCCCTAGCTTGGGGGTTGCAGAGGATGGGCCTTTGGCAGGGCAGTGGCAGAAAGCCTTTCACTTTCTCTTGGGGGTCCACCACAGAGAAATACAGAGCTGCTGCCTATTCTTATTAGAATGACAAGCCCAGGGTGGGGCAGCTGTGCTGCAGGCCTACACCAGCGGGTCCCGCATGGTGAAGAGCAGGGTAGTAGAGGGGTTACAGGAAATATAATCTGGCCTCTTTGTTATCAATGAGGAATCCATATGGGTCTGCCGCAACTTGATCCTTGCCTCCTTGAGGAAAGAATTCATCCAAGGGTCATAAGGCAAAGTGAGAGACAGAGGCAAGTTTTAGAGCCAGAGTGAAACTTTATTAAAAAGTTTTAGAGCAAGAATGAAAGGGAGTAAAGTACACTTAGAAAAAGACCAAGCAGGTGACCTGAGAGATCCAAGTGTGCTGTTTGGCCTTTGACTTGGAGTTTTATACATAGGCATGGTTCTGGTTCTAGGGTTCGCATCTCTTCTCCCCTGATTCTTCCCTTGGGGTGGGCTGTTTACCTGTGCAATAGCCTGCCAACATTTAGGAGGGATGGCCACATGTTCATTGTATTTACTGAAGTTGTGTGCGTACTCATTTGAGGAGTTTTTACCTTACCAGTGAGTGTTCCTGGAGGAAGGTCATATAGCAGTTAAGCTCCTCCATTTTGCCTCTTAGTGCACATGCTTGAGCCCACTCACTCAACTCCTGAGATCTTACTGGGAAGCTGCTGATCACCAGCTTCAGGTGTTTTCTATCTATGGAAAATTTCTTTCCTTGGTGCCAGCAGCAACCAGTTATTATTTTAGAGAGGCAGTTTGACAACCACCCGATCATCAACTGATGGCTGCCTGACATTCCTTGGAGGTGCCCTCTCCTGCCCTTCTCATGTCGGCCTAGCTACCTACTCCAATATCATCTCTGTAAAGCATCCATGGCTTGCTAGATATGTGGGTAAAGCACCCAGGTTCTTTGTTCCTTTCTCAGCTTGGTTGAAGTGAAGGTGGGGGCCACTACAGCAGCAGTGGCAGAGGGGCTGTCAATTTCCTCAGGGAATTCCATCCCATAGAGACACAGAGCCACTGCCAGTGGGAATGTTTAGCTAGGTGTGGGGCAACTGCACTGTGTACCTGAGCTGAGGTCCCTGCCTGGTGAAGAGCAGAGGTGGCAGGGACTCACAGGGAAGAGAAACTGGACTCTGCTCTGTATGGCAGCTATTGAGTGCTGGAAGGGCCAGCAAAGCAATCAGGTCTTTGTTTCCCAGAGTGCAGTGAGGGTGTTACACCTGCATATGGCAGTTGTAGGAGGACTTTCAGTTGCCTCTGGAATCTCCACCACAGTGAAACCCAGAGCTGTATTAATGGTAATGTTCAGCTGGGGATGGTGCAGCTGCACAGGCCTGAGCCAGGGGCCATGCCTGGTGAAAAGCACAGGTTTGGAGGCTCACAGGAAAGACAGACTGGGCGGATGGTGAGAGGTGTTTCAGCAGCGGCAAAAATGGCAGGCTGGTCTGTTACCTTCAGGAGCTCCATCTCAGAGAAATGCAGAGCTGTCACCTGCCTGAGTGCTCAGATGTGGGTAGGGTGACTGTGCTGTAGCCCTAGGTCAGGAGGCCCTGACCAGTGAGATGTAGTGGAGCAGAGACCCACATGGTAAACAACCTAGCTGCTTTTCCATAAGGCATTTACAGCAGAAAAAACATGTGTTCTAATCCTAGGGAAGGAACAGAAGAAAAATTCAGTTAGCAACTAGTGGTCTCTGGGACAATACAATGGAAGATAATCAGAAACGGTAATTAATGAGAGATATGCTGTATGAAATGTTCATATATAGTTGTCCTCAAATTGGAAGTTGATGCAATTGTCATGAGGCAAATTTTCATTTCTTTGCTTACCAAGTGAATGGTCTACCAAAAGAAATAATTATTTATTTACTCATGTTTAACTTCTCAACTATAGTATGACTAGAAAAAATATTGTTAGTAAAGTAATTTAGGTTGTATTCTATTGAACTTTCTTTTTGAACTTAAATCTGACTAATTGAGTGGTGGATTTCTAAACATTGCTGTCTTCTGTACCTTTTTTTTGAAATTTCTATTTGAGATCCAATACTCATCTGACCTTTAGTTAATCCCCTTTCTCATTTTACTTTTCTTCCTTATGGCCAAGACATCAGTCAGTGACAACCAGGAGAAAGAAAATGCACAGCAACAAAATCCAGTAGCATATTTGAAAGAGGAATTGTAATCTACCAAAATTATGATGTGTAATTAATTATTTTATAAACGAATGTGAATTAATCACATATCATTTCACAATTTAAAAAGCCCTCAAATTGGAGATTATCCAGCAGTTTTCTGGGTTTCATCCAGTGATATAGTTTGGATGTTGTCCCTGCCCACATCTCATATTGAATTGTAATCCCCAATGTTGGACATAGGATTGGTAGGAAGTGATTAGATCATGGAGGTGGTTTTCTCAGGAATAGTTAATACCATCCCTTGATACTATTCTTGCAATAGTAAGTTTTCACAAGATCTGGTCATTTAAAAGTGTACCTCCCCCTGTCTCTCTTGCTTCTGCTCTGGCCATGTGATGTACCTAATCCCCCTTCACCTTCTGCCGTGGTTGTAAGTTTCCTTGGGCCTCCTCTGAAGCCAAGCAGATGCCATCATGCTTCCCATACAGACTGTGAGCCAATGAAACCTTTTTTCTTTATAAATTACCCAGTCTGAGGAATTTCTTTACAGCAATGTGAGAAGGAACTAATGCACCAAGGAAAAAACAATAAGGGTTAGCAAGTAGTGTTAGTCAGCAAATTTTTATTGAATGGTATTGTTTCTTGCTGGGCAGGGCTAATTCCTTAGGCAGTGTTCCCAGAGTTGGGAGTGTATGGGCTTTTGGCAACTGTATTTATACTCACGTAAATCCACTTTCACTTATAGCAAATTAAGGGGTGGGTCAATGCAAATTGAGGGGTAGGTTATTTAGAACTTTTTAGGAAAGGGGTAATAACTTATGGGTCATTGCCATGGCATGTGTAAACTGTCATGGCACTGATAGGAGTGCCCTATGCTAATGAGTAATGGGGGCAGCCAGGGATTGCTTTCCCCATTTGCTGGTTTCTGTGAGTTTTTTTTCACTTTATTCTATCTGGACCAGATCTTATTTTGATCAGCAGATTTGTGACCAGATAACAAGTCCTGTTGGTCTCCTACCTCATTCCTCCCCTGGATATTAGATGCTCCTTCTTAATCTTACAGGGTCTGCGGAATGGTAGAGGCTTATCTTTTGTAATTGCTTTTTTGCTGATTTTATGTATGTAGACCCTGCCTAGCAATTGAAAGTGGGTTTACCTGAGTATAAATACAGTTGCCAAAAGACTACAATTGCTGCTGTCTTTGTGGTCTTACTGCTGTGTTGGTCACTGCCTCTCACTTGCCATCTTCATCCTTTCATTGTTTCCAGATGATGCAACACAGGTCAGCCCCAAACTGGGGCTTCATCAAGGAGTATTCTTGGCTTCACTCAGGAAAGAATTCAAGGGCAAGCTGGTAGTGTTGGACGACAACATTTTATTGAATGGTACTGCTCTTAATTAAGCAGGGCTAACTCATAGGCAGTGGGCCCAGAGTTGGCAAGGTGTAGTGTTTTGATGACCATGTTTATACTCATGTAAACCCACTTTCAATTGCATGCAAATTAAGGGGTGGGTCAATACATATTGAGGGGTAAATTATTTATAACTTTTAAGGAAAGGAGTAGTAATTTCCAGGTTGTACCACGGTAATGGGTGGTAACTTCTAGATTGTTGCCATGGCATCTATAAGCTGTCATGGAACTGGTGGTATTGTCTTAAGCTAGGGATCACCCTCATTGTTATCTTATGGTTCCTGCCAGTTTCTTTACTTTGTCCTGTCTGGACAAGATCCTGCTTGGTCAGCAGGGTTGTGACCAGAAAACAAGTTCTGTCAGTCTCCTACCTCAGTATGCTTCTATTCATTAAAAGGAAAAGGCAAGTTGAGGTCTATCCCGATGGGGCTTTGCATATAGCCTGCACATCGTTGGAAACGCCTCATAGAGTAACTCTGTGGTGACCTTACTCACAGGACTATTGTTAGATCTGTGGAAAGGAATGGCAAGACAGCTGCTACAAGTTTTAGTTACTAAGTGTATGAAAGACCTGATAGTCTACTTTTTTACCTTAGGTATTGGGTATTTCCATGCCTGTACTATTCTTGAGTGTGACTGCTTAGGAATGAATATGATTTGAACTCATTCATGTTGAAAGGGTGTCAAATTGAGAACCAGGCAGATCCACCACCTACAATAAAAAGTTCAACTTCTAGGACCCTAAAGTAAATTGGTTGAAGAAAGTAGATCCCAAAGATTCTTGGGCTGACAGGACAACTGGATTAAAGCAAGCATCAACTTCATTAAAAAGGGCTAACTTGCAGCTCTTTAGAGGATCTAAAGTGACTTTGATGGACAGTGGAAGAAACCACAACATGGAATTCTTTGAATAAAAATTTATTGACTTTAAATATAAAAAAAAAAAAGGAAACGGCAAGTCTAATCTGTGATATCAGAAGTAGGATAGTGGATATATTTCAGGAGGTTAAAGGAGTGGTGATTGGAGGAACTATGACCAGCGCTTTGAGGATGTTAGAAACGTTCTGATTTTTTCACCTAACATGAGTACATTTCATTTGTGATAATTCACTAAGCTGTACCTTTATGATTTTGTACCATTTTGTATGTGTATAATTCTTTAATGAAAATAAAATAACAATAATGTGTGGTTTTATTTATTTATTTTAAATTTTATTGTGCATATTTAAGGTGTAAACCATGATGTTATAGGATACACATAGGCAGCAAAATTATTACTACACTGAAACAAATTAACATATTCATTATCTAACATGGTTATCCACTTTAGTTTTGGTTTGTGGTGACAGCAGCTAAAATCTACTCATTTAGCATAAATCTGATACATTGGATAATTTCAGTACCTATAGTCTTCATGTTGTACATTAGCTCTCTAGATTTGTTCATCATACATATTTGATACTTTATATAAATTGATATTTTAATATAAAAGAATTTGACTTAGAATTTTGTATTTGGCCATATTTTTACTAAAATGTTTATATGTAATGAAAATATTTATAGGCATAAAAAATCCACATTAAACACACTTTCAACAAAGTTTTGATGCTGGAAGAGAAAGAAACCTGGAGCTACTGTAAGAAATTATGAGTAATAAAACATCTTGGTAAAGTTTATTATTCCACAAAACAAACAAATTAACATGAAAATAAATAAAACTAAGACCACATAAAACACATAAAGTGAACATATATTCTTAGTAATCTAAAACTATTATTGTAGACATTATAAGCATGAGGCTTTGCAACTCAAAAGACATGAGAGTGAGGAAAGTGCTTATCTTTTTAGGGAGAAGAAATTAATAATTTTAATACATTGATGTGAGTTAGTATATATGATTATACATTTATGTTAAAGACAGACAATATAAAAGAAATTAGTATATACAAGTGATGCAGGACAGGCAAGCCCTTAAATTGGGGATTAGCTTGGGAGGGTTCATGACTTCACCTAGAAAATAATTTGAGTTCAACCCACTGGTGTTAATCAGCAACTTTAAATGAAGCAGCACTGTACAGCAGCAGCAGACACATAACTCCTCGTGGAGCAGGGCTTCCCCATAGCCAGTGTGTGCAGAATAGCAGCTCAGAGGTGGTTTTGCACTCAATATTTGCACCCACTTCTAATTATATGCAAATTAATAGTTAATTTATGCAGAAATTTTTAGGAAAAAGGTGCCAACTTTCAGGTTGTCAACGTCATTGCCATGGAAAGGGACAATAACTTCCCAGTGTTGCCACAGCAATGGTGAACTGACATGCAAACTGGTGTGCATGTCTTACAGAAATCTGCTTCTACTTGGACCTGTTTTAGCTAGTCTTCATTTTGGTCAGGTGTTTGAATCCCACCTCCCCTACTTCATAAGTATTAAACAGACAGAAAATAACTCAAATCTGTTCAATAGAAATCAGGAAAGGAGGAAAAAATGAATAAAAAGTACACAAAACCTAAAATTATATAAAAGTACCAATATCAGACTACTAATATATATGTAAAAAGGTCAAATTTACCAATTAAAAGATGCATCCTCTGAATGAATAAAATGAAAGGCTGGCAATATATTTTCTACATAACACATAGAAAGTCTGAAAATAAGGCAATCTTAATGCTATGAAATATAGATAGCACAGAACACACAGACAATCAGAAGCAGATAAATAAGCTGATAGATAAAAAAGTAGACACAATTAGCAGAGATGGATGTATTATGTACTGTATATAAAAGCTGAAATCAGGACCATAATGTTTATAGAAGTCAGAAGAATATTTTCATGAAAAGGGTAGGCTAGATTTCTCAGCAATTCTAATAAAAAGCACTATTTATGAAAGAAAAAAAGAGAAATCTAGGCTTCATCAAAATGAAAATACATATTTTTTTCAAAGAACAACATTCATGAAATAAAAAGGCAAGCCACTGAATGGAAAAAAAAATTGCAGAAATTGTAGTTTGCCAAAAAGAATTATATCTAGAATATGTAAAGAACTTCTACAACTCAATTGAAAAAAAAAAATGGCAGGGCGCGGTGGCTGAAGCCTGTAATCCCGGCACTTTGGGAGGCCGAGGTGGGTGGATCACGAGGTCAACAGATCGAGACTATCCTGGTCAACATGGCGAAACCCCGTCTCTACTAAAAATACAAAAAATTAGCTGGGCATGGTGGCGTGTGCCTGTAATCCCAGCTACTCAGGAGGCTGAGGCAGGAGAATTGCCTGAACCCAGGAGGCGGAGGTTGCAATAAGCCGAGATCGCGACATTGCACTCCAGCCTGGGTAACAAGAGCGAAACTCCGTCTCAAAAACAACAACAACCACAAAAAACCTCCAAATAAGTGAAAGATTTGAATAACCGTTCACACACACACACACTACACAAATCATCAAAAGCACACTTGAAAAGGCACTCAACATTAGGAAACTGCAAATTAAAACCACATCCATCACAATCTCCTTTTCAGCAACCTCTGTTCTGCCTCAGTCCATTCCAGTTAGGAATCCATCCCCACCATCCATTGAAAATACTTTTGTCAGGATAATCAAGTTTCCAAATCTAGTGCTTATTTCTCTGTGCTCATACTTCTTTGAACATAATTCTATGGAGTTGTTTACCCCTTCCAATTTGAAACATTTTCTTCTCTTAGCTTTTCTTTTTATAACACCAGTTCAGACTTCCTCACTGAAGTGAGAAATAACGTAGCCCAACTGCTCACTTGATACATCCACTTAGACATTTCCTAGGCAGCCACACTGAAATGCCCCAAGAAGAAAGCCTGATTCTCTTCTCCATCCAACTTTCCTCTTTCTGTTGATAAGCCAGCTCTCCACCCAGTTGCTCAAGCAGAAAGTCGAGTAATCCTTGATTCTCTTTTTAAATCATCACCCATAGCCAATTCATCAGCAAATTCTGTAGATTTAGCCTTCAAAAAAACATATTGGGTCTGGTTGGTTCTCAGTTTTCACTTAGTTCTAGCCACAGTTCTTTTTGCTTGGGCTATTAATACATCTTCCCAACTGTCTCCTTGCTGTCCCTTTTGCTCCTCTGTGAAAAAACATTTTAACTGATCCATTTTCAAGGCATGATAAATCTAAGTGCTGGCAGCCAACCTGAGGATGTGACTAACAGCATAGCTCATGCACCTAGAAGGTCAGGATAAGAAAGCAGAATGTAGAGGAGGGATCTGCCCATAAAAAGGAAGAAAGTTTCATTATTGGGAAGTTGAAACTTAAGTGGAGAAGGAAGCCGAGTTATAATCTTATAAGGGGGATAATGAAATTTAGGTGACATCAGGAAGACTGCAACCTCATAGTCCTCGATCAATGAGGAACTGGGGGACAGATTTGTCTGCTAGGAGATAAATTACCTGATGTAACTGTCCCAGGTGTTCCTGCCTACCAGACGCCTGATCTTGCAACTGCCATTGTCTCCTTTCTGCTGTTCTTCATGTCTCAGAGTCCATTCCTTGGGTTTGGATGGTTGAATGCACTTCTCACAAACTTAAGGGCCCACCTGGGATCTCTCTGCCTGCATGGAGTGGGACTCCAGCTGAGAGGGGAGACGCGCCCCACCTGATTTAGGTGGCCCACTCTGTTCAAGCATCCTGGCGGATGGGCTTCAGAGACCATAGACAAACCTGAGACTGTTATTCAGGAGGCAGCAGAGGTGACACAGGAAGAAACGTAGGCACCATGCAACCAGGAAAACTCGTGCAAGAGACAAGGTGGTAAAATTGGACTATAAGTACAGCCTTGGTGAGTTGGGCATTTTCAGAGGTCGAGTGTATGTGACTGAGATGTATCCTAGATATGGAGAAAGTGTCGAGTCCCAATCTGTGGTTCAATTCTCCCACAAGGAAAATGGCCAAAGATGAATGACGTGATTCTCCAGGTGTACAAGAAACCTCCAGTAGGCAGGGGGAGATTGAGTACACTGGAAAATCCTCAGACACAGAGACTGAACAAAGATTGGAAACAGAAATTCTAGCCTAGGGGACAAAAAGGAAGCCAAAGAGACTTTGGCATTTCCTGGAATAGTCCTTTGGAGCAAATGCTGCAGGATCGGAGGTACAACCCACAAACCAGTGACAAGGAAAAGCAAAAAATTACCAAGCATTGCTGTTTTATCTAGCCCAAAGGCCCCATTCATAACCCTTTGGTCTTTTGGCCTAGGTGTGGCTCAGATGAGCCAAACTTTAACTGTCTATACGAATGATAAAACCCCATCCTCACAAGAAGAGATCGGTTATGCTTTCTGCTGGATCAAGGAATTAGACCCCATGTTTCCCCTCAAAGAAGAAGAAATGGAGCCTGGTAAAAAGTCCTTGCCCAGTGAAAAGCCCTGGGACCCCCTATCGTGCTTGTCTCCTCCATACATCTCTCAAAATAGGGGAAAGGAAGATCAAGGGGCATCAGGAAGGTTTGAGGAAGAAAGACCTAAAACCATGGGGGAGTTGAAAAAAACACTCCTTTAAATCCTTATCCAA